CCCCAAAACCCCAAAACCCCAAAACCCCATATTAGAATATTAAGCATGCAATAATGTTAGTATAAATCAGAAAATAATCTAACTAGTATAAATTTAATAAAATGTTTCGAAAGATATATACTAAAATGAGGGAAACTACTAGCTTTCCCCTTTTAGCCTTGTTGCTTGTTGGGACTGTCTCCTTAACATCTCATGAGTATTCTAATAATGGAATGGAGAGATATCTAGCTTCTACTTCAAAGAGTATTAACTTGAATGAGTTGTATGATGGAAAACTCAAAGGTTCCTAAGACCAAAATTGGGCCTATTATACCTTGAATCTCGCAGACTAAATATCGCAAGATCTTTCCTATAAAGATAATAAGGTAGATCTGGTAATCTAACTTTCTCAAAAAGGAACTGTGTTCACTGACTCTAGTCTGTTCATTAATCTAGTAAGTTTAGATAGACAAAATAACTATGCATAAATCGAATATTTATTAATCGTTAATTTTAGAATAGCGAACTGCCCAATTTGAATCAGTTTTCAATGTAATGCAGCTTCTTCGGTGAAGATTTTTGTGTTATTAATGGCAAAGAACTTGAAATGACTTCTTTAATTACGATTGGAGTATTTTGCAGAGAACAATGTGAATACGAACTGTAAGGTGAGTTAACAGAAGAGCTAGTGTTCTAACCAAATAAGTTCCAGAAGTTGTATTTCAAGGAAAACTAAGAGAGAATAATAAAATTCACTATTCCAAATGACGAGAATATAACGACTATAGAGATAAGTGGGGTGAATCAAAACAAATTCGATAAGTTTAACATGATAATGGCCAACAACAACCAAATGCCGAATTCAGACAATAGTCTGTATCTAAGACCTGCTTGGGAAAACGGATACGTAGGTAAATTCACTGAGAATTGCTTCTGCTTTTGTAGAGGGTGCAACTACACGGTTCTTATTTCATCTGACAAGGAAGGCTACATAACTGTTGGAGCTAAAGTGCACGGCTATACTGTAGACATCACAAGTTCTGAGGGAGTGATATATGACTCAGTCTTGAACTTCTAAGCATAATGCTACAGCTATCAGGTTAGATTCGCTGATAAAGACTTAAGAATAAAGTTGGAGTCATACGCTGGTGATCCAGACGTCTACATCAATCCAATTTGGATTCCACCTCAACTTAGTGAGTCTGCATTCAATTCAAGAGATCATTTTTAAAACGAAGAACTTATACTGACTCCTGCAGAAAGACAAAGGGCTAATGCAGTTACTGGCTAATATTACATCTGTGTTTGGGGTCAATAAGCTTCAACCTATAAGATTCAAGTACTTAATGAAAATCACGATGTATTTTTGGTGAGCGGCTTGTCATAGAGTGGATATGTGATGCCAAATGAGACTAGTATTCATTATTTCAGAGACCCGTTACTTGCAGACCCAAGCATTTCAATTGAGATATCTATGCATATAATGATAGGAAAAGCTAGATTGAAGAGCAAATTATGCTAAATTGAAGCTGGAGCACCTTTAAGCTCGTTTAAGGATTCTTGCACCTATACTTTTGAAGACTTGTTCTAAGAGGATCCTGATGAAAAACTAATCCAGGATCATATTGGCTCTGAGTCTGTAAAGAACGATGTAAACATATGTAAAATGGAGAAGCCTAATAATAAAAGAGCCCCAGAAGTGACATGTGTCTGGGTTATAGGTATAATTGGCTTGGCAGAGTATGAAACTCATTTTTCAGTATTAGTAAAAACAAACAAGCCTGAAGAACATACCAAGCTAAGATAAGGCGTGCCTTTCTAATCTGAGATCAAGGAAAATGATCCAAACTACTTTAGTATTCATATTAATGACCCAAAGGTAAAGAGACTTATTATTCAGCTAACTACCATTCATGGAGATCCTGACATTTTTGTCTCAAGATTCACCAAGACACCATCGTATTGGGAGTTCGAAGGCAGATCCATTAGATGTGGAATGTACCCAGAGATAATATAGTATATCAAAGATGAAAATAACGAAGCTTTTAAGACCTTAGTTGGGGATTTCTACGTAAATGTGTTCAGTTACACTCAGTCTACCTATTCCCTAGTATATTACGTTGAAACAGATGAAGGCGTGATCTCAGCAGTGCAACTCCTAATGGGCTAAAAGCAAAAAGGAGTGCTTAAGACCACTTAGGAGTCTCTGGTCTATGAATTTGAGTTGGTTAATAGCATGAAGGAGGAAGTGGAGATAAGACTCATATCTGAGAATGGCCAATTTAACTATTACCTAGGCAGAGGATTTATCCCTGATGAGAAGAGCTACACAACTAAAGGCACTGAGATTAACCAGATTGTATTTGAAAGTCAGAATGAGACAGCTGACTTGAAAACTACTTATTATGTGAGAGTGGTTCCCTACTAAGCCTCTGTGTTAATAGAAGACCAAATCAAGGATTCGGCAGGAATGGCTTATGTTTATACCATAGCCTATTACGAGTAAGGCAGTTTCATCCACTTGCCTTATGGAGTGCCCATGAGGGGATAAGTAAATAATGATAGTTTGCATTACTTCTACGTTGACATTCAAGGCAAATCAGACTATGAAATTACACTTACAGCTATTTCTGGTAATCCCGACCTCGGCATTTCGCTAGATAGCAGAATGAAGTTCCCTGACAGATTCTAAAATACATTTGTCTCATAAAATGTCCTGATTCCAGACACTGTTGTCATAACTCAAGATTAAATAAAGTAATTTGAGTCTGAGAATGGCATTAAGGCAACATAGATATTTATAAGTATCTTTACAAATGACACTAAAGCCTCTACCTACACTATAATGACTAACAAAAAAGATGCATTCAATCCAGTTTTACTTACCAATGGCTAGTCTCAGAGTGGTACAATAGATGCAGGTGAATCTAAATTCTATTACTTCAAGACAGGCAGTGACATGCCACTCTACGCATCCCTGATTCCTAAGAAAGGCAACCCAGATCTTAGCATTTCAATCATCAAGAACTTCTCAGAATCTAGGTATAGTTGGTAGAAGTATGCTGACCTTCCCTATTTCAAATCGAAGGTTCAGTTTGGAGCAGATATTATCTACCTTAATACCAATAATACTTTATTTAAGGATGGCTGTGGAGCCTCATGCATTCTACTCATTCAAGTCACAAATGCTAATAAGGACTCAGAGGCATACTACAGACTTAGTATGACAAGAGACATCCTAGAATTGATAGAGAACACTCAGATCCAGGACAGTATTCAAGAGGTATCCATGTATAAGTATTACAGATTCTACAAGTCGTGCGAGGAATGCGAAATTGACATCACAATTACACCGTTGTAGTCCTCATCTACAATGCTTTTAATGGCTGATTTTGAAGTTAAGTCTAGGCTCCCAACACATCAAAGCAACCCTAAATGGTACCTTAATGCATTCTAATAGAGTACGCTCAAGATCACTCCTAACAGCACAATAATTAATAATGCTAAAAAAACAAACACTTAAATACCAATTGAGCTTTCTAGCATAGGCATGTATACTATAGGCGTTCATTCGCATCAAAATGCTTCATTTCTACTATCAGTATAAATCATAGATCTTGCTAATAGTAATTAAGAAGATGCCTTGATTATCAGGAAAGTATTCTTGGGTGAAACCTAGGATATTGATCTAAACTCCAGAGAAATAAAATACCTCTACTTTGAGAATTGGGTAAATGCTTCCATTAGACTGTAATTCCTGCCAATTTAAGATTCGCCGTCAAAGATTAATAATTTAGAATTTGACTTTAGAGTCACAACGATGGAATCTAGGAAGCAAGTTCCCAAGCATGATTCAGATCTTATTTATAAAAAATGGAAAACGAACAGAGTTAAAACATCAATAGATCTTTAAAACTAGAAAACTGATACATTAGAAATAGGAAATAACGATCCTGATGTTGACTTCTGTGTCCAGTGCTTCTTTATCATTAGAATAGAAAATTTAAAGAAAGAGAAGTAATAAAATGGCAGACTAATAATAACTTAAGACAATGAGCACGGAGGCTTAGGATTCAAGTCAAATTTAATAGTAGGCAGACCTTATGTGCTCAAGCTAAGACAATACTAATAAACTCAGTTTAACTTTATGCTGAATTATGGATTCTAAGCAGAACTTGATGTGCAATACTTCACTGGCAATGCAGATTATGAGATTAAAGACTGGACTGATAATTCCATCTTTTTCCCATCAATCGGAAATCAGGATTAAGAGCTATTGGAATTCACTGAGACAAAATCATCTATCAAAGCAGTCCTTAAGCAGCTTGTAGCTGGTAGAGTATATCAACTCATCGTTATTGCAAGGCAAGATCTTCATGCTTCAATCTTACTATCTTAGGACAATGATCTCACTGTGGTCTCTGATGGAGTCACGAAGAGTGTTTATTTTAGTTCTAAAAGCAGCATGGAGTCAAAATATTTCCTGTATCTCCCGCCATCTCCAAAATTCCAATTAGCAGTCAGCGCTGCAACAAATACCTTCGATGTGTATTACTACGTTAGCATTAAGTAAATCAATACTAGAGGAGAGATTAGTTAGAAGGATAAGATTTAAAGTGCTACAGCAAATGGATCTTCAGGCAATAAAAGAGACTTACTTTTTGGAATAAAGAAAAAGAATAAGAAAGATGAGGTAGTAGACACACTTAAGAGCATCTTACCTTAGATGAGTGACCTCTCTGATAATTCTACTCTCTCATCAAATAAAGGGGGTTCAGCATCGAATGACTTATTGACTATGGATATTTCAAATATTGAAAACAGTTTAATGGGATTAATGTTCTGGAGAAATTTCAAAAATGCTAAGAACTTCGATTTCACTTTGAAAAGTACCAACACCAAGGGAGGCATGGCTTTATTTGATGTATTCCCAATTGAGCTTGCGCATGAGGATAACCTTCTGCTGATCAAGGTTGACATAATAAAGGGCTATAATGATACAGCTGATGTTCAACTTACTTTATCTGGCTCTGAGATCTAGCTACTCCTACCTGGAACAACTGTGAAAGGTCATGTGTCTAACTGGAATTAAACATACAAGATATACGAAATATATGTAAATCAGAATCAACTGTTTAATAATGAAAATACTGATCTATACATTTAAGTTACCCCTTGCAGTGGCAAAGTAGACTTTTATGTGTCAGAAAACTACCTCACTCTATTCAACAGAGACAAGTAAGTTTCGAGTATCGACTTAAAGAGCAATGAGAAATTCGGTATGGAATCCGCTAGAGTTAGAAACATAAAAGGAAAGGAGGTGCTTTATGTTGGAATTTAATCTTCCAATGAGTTCTATCAGGACTTAAAGCAGAAAGTAGACTCTTACTTCGAGATTAGAACTGAACTTATCCGAAACTCACAGGATGATATAATGGACTCATATATGTTTAAAGATAGCACCAATGAACTTGAAGTTAAATTTGATGAAAAGGACCCTGATAATGTGATAGTAAACTGGTCTAAGATTTTCTATAAATAAAATCAAGATAGCTTTATCGGCAGCAGTAGTAAGTTCTCAGCTGCAAAGGATGTTTAGTATCAACTTTATGCCGGTACCAAAGATCATGCCAGATACTCTATGAATTCTCAATGTGCTATTGAACACTCTGAGATGTATGACATCTTCACAATATTTATGAACCCAGAAGACATGCAGACCTCCAATTAAATAAGACTATAGAGGTAGGATATAGAGTCAATCAAAGTACTCGGCTTGATAGCCAAAGTTAAGGATCCAGTGACTGGATAGGTTATTAACCTCGCTTATGAGCCTTTGAACTTCAACCCAGATAATTTCGGAGTCAAGGTGCAAATGGCACACTTAGCTATTTTTGCTGTTGTTAGCATCATCGTGGTAGTCCTTTTGATTTTGATTATTTGCTGTCTGAGAAAGAAATCCTTGATAATGGCTAAGAGATTGCAAAGCGAACAGTACGCTTAGTAAAATTTCTCAACAGTTGGAATTGAAAACCCAAACCTGACTAAAGATGACTCAAGAGATGAGATTTGATTTCAAGAGATATAAAGGAAATTATAATATAAAATCTTTTAATTTTTGATTTGCCATTATTTGAGATTCATGGGGTTTTGGGGTTTTGGGGTTTTGGGG